TAGAAGGCAAAACTGCTTGGAGCAAACAGTATGAGTATTCCATTGTTGTTGCGTTAATTTTTGAAGCCGGAAATAGCTATGCCAGAATCTCTTCTATTAGAGGCGATAAAAAAAATACTTGGAAATAAACGAACCTCAAATTTCGATCCTCCTCTCCGTGTGAATCCAAATATACAGAGCCCCAGAATGCAGCTTTATGATTGCATACAATCACTATAAGTGAGGTAGTCAACGACAGAAAACATCCAATACCGCCGCCGCATTCCATAGTGTGCTGAACGGAGGAAAAATTTAATTCAAAAATATGGATAGTGATTCGAATTACCCTCCTCCCACACATATATTTTCCCACGTAGGCGAATCCAGGATAGCCTCCTGGGCGGGAGAGGGGAAGGGGAGGGGGGTTAAGGTGGGCCTACTTGTGCGGTAACGACTTGGGAGAGGGAAATGAAGATCCTGGAAGGGGGCGATCGGAGATGCGGAAGAGAGTTTTCTTCAGTTTTAGTTTTAGACTCAGATTTTTGTAGCACTTGTACCTGTGCCGTGTAGATGGGACGGGAGGGAGTGGCAAAAGGCCAATCGCCTTCTCTCCCTGGGTTCGCCTATTTTCCCCCAATTTATCGATGATAAAGCTCAAGAAATTCTTAAAGGTTACGTTCCGGCTTAACAAGTCGGCAAAAACAAATACACGATGAGTCCCTTTGCAGAGACATATTATATATATTAATTTCTCCTAATACAAATGAATTCAGTATCTTCCTCTACTGAAGCAGAAACTTCCCCCTCCAATTTCTGTTCCATTACAGACGACCAAATTTGGTCGGTGGGTAATTCCCAGGATTTGCATGAAAAACTGAATTTATGCTAGATAATGTTCGGCAAAATAATGCGAGAAAAAAAAAAGAAAGCAGAACAAACCCGTTCGACTTCATTGTCTGCAGTTTCACCCCTAACGACCATTGCACAACAGTTATCCAGACAGCACAGAACCGCACAAAGTAGACATATGAATGGCATACGTGGCACCTGACAGCACATAAAGCAATCACGACCGAAGTACAGTGCAAAGAGATCGTCATAACTATGCGGCAATTCCAGCAGTGTAAAGCGACGATATCCGAGTGGTTCTGATCGTAAAATCTAAATAGTGAAAGCGCATGAAATTTTTTAGCGCAAAAATTAATGAATTAAAAATTAGCAGATTCTATAGGCTTTAAAACTGAAAAATTTGTCATCTGTATAGTTGGAGCAATACCTATGAAATATAAAGTCGACAAGAGTGGAGCTACAAAATGTAGCAGAAGACACTGATTGTCGTGAGAAACATGCAAAAAGCCGGTTAAGAAGCCGTCACAAAGAAAAAAAAGAAAATAGAAGGGCTATCTTGCCCTGAAAGGCAAAGGTATACTAGATGTGCTGTCAAGCTGAATCTGGAGCACAAAGACTTGTGGTGTAGTGGTAACACATTGTGTCTGGACGTGAAAAGGAGTGGTTCGATTCCTTACCGGTGCAGAAAAATTTCTGAAGGGCTCCGTTCATGACTCTGACCAGCAGTCTGTGTTTCATCCTTTAGCAGAGCAGTAGATGCAGATAGGAGTAGAAATCATCAGTACAAATTCACCAATCAACCGGTTCGAAAGTAGGGGCATTTCTTTTACTGGTGAGCCAGAACGGAGATATGCAGCGCACTTGAACATATCAAGCACGCTTTATAAATCAAAACATTTTTTCGCTTTGCAAGTTCACAGACTTCACC